CGTGTGAATTTATTTCTCTGCAAAAAGTGTCAAAAATATTGGTTTTAGCTTCCTTGTAAGTTTAAAAGCTATTTATGAGCTATGGCAAAATTTACCCATTTTTATTTATAGAAAAAGACAGAGTAAAGTAATGAGAAACTTTTATAGCTCTTGAGCAGTTTCCATTTTTCCATGTTGCATTCCCATAGTAAATTATTGTCTGCCATTTGTTTCCTCATTCAGCGGCAACAGTAGACCAATAAAGTTTGAGCCAACGCTGCGTAAACTTTTTATGCGGTCTTTCGACAAAATACTTTCTACTAAACTTTATTTTTATGTGATAAAAGCTAAATATATTTCCTGTCGAGGCTTACTTTATCGTTTCTTGCAAAACTGTACAGAACTGTTTGTCGCTCTGGTCGAAAATTCTTTAAATTGGAAAAGCGCTTACTGTAACACTTCTTCTGCACGTCTCAAAAAGATCGTTTTATGATACTTTTACAGTAAATAGTAATAAGATTATATTATTGACATTTTAATAGAACCGTTTTACAATAACTTTACTGGATATTCTCAGTAAGGCTTTACTAAATAACAGCTGTTGAGGAGTGAGCGAAACGATCAGCAAGGACGGAGGACGTAGATAATATTGATACTTGTAGATGGTAACTAATTTTCGTAGTGGCGATGATTGCATGTGGGAACTACCTATTTTACTAATATACTCGATTCTTATTGTTCTCCACTTGTTGAAGCTGTAAAATACTGATATCTAAATTGGCATAATAGAAATAGAACTTCTAAGAACAGTTCCAAGAGTTTTAAATGGGAGAACGAACAAGCGAATAGCACTTTAGAGCTTTTTTTGGGTGTAAGTCACAAGTGTACACTGCAAGAGGAAACAAAGAGGTAGAATAAAATTTGGAGATAAACTAGAAGACCGGCTGAACAATCGAGAAGTTTGCAAGAACACTGACCTTACAAGAACCAACGACTTCTCGTGCATTAGATAAAAATGGCGTAATTTTCTGTCTACCCTAAAAGAGCTTCTCCTTAATTAGTAGTCAGAATCAAACAGAAAAAAAGAATATTTGAAACAATGTATTTGATACAGTGGCGTTTTCAGTAAACTTCTGATTTACAGAAGCACAACTTTTTTCACTTATTTGTCGAATTGAATAATATGTAGTGGCCAGAATTGACAGTTTGTTATTTAGACTATTTTTATGCTTTACCATTTAACCATATCGTTTTTCTTCTTTTAAAACATATTTCCTTTTTTAACTGTTTAGTGACACTGAAATTTGTAGAAGGAAATTTATCTTGTTACACTGTTACACAATTTATTTAATTTCTTTCATAATAAAATTATTTTTTGCTTATTCAAAATTAATCAAACAACAAACAGTTTTTAAATTATTTTACAACAAAGTAGTATAATTTGAACAAATCTAATATCAAATGAGTTTAATTTATATTTAAATATTTTCTTTGACGTAGCTGTGTAACAGCTGCAAAAAGTTAGCGATTATACGTCGATGAATCAAAGTTACACTTTTTATTTCTTTCATGCAGAAAACAGCAACTGAATGTGTGCAAAATAAAAGTTTAGTGTTTCAAACTTTACTTTATTCAAAAATTTTAATCTTTAAAATTTACTCTTTCAGCTTAATTTTGAATATATGTTTTACCTTTTGAAAATTACTTTATTGCAGCGAATTTCACCTCTTTAACAATTTTCATTTTTAAGTGACATTAAATATACTCTTTGTACCTAATTTGCTGAAATAGTGAAGAATTTTA